TGGTGGTTCAAACTGATTCTGCAGCGGTGTTGCAGCTGCTCTCCTCAGCGGGGGTTCGTCATCCCCACTACGGTTTGATCATGGAAGCCAGACGCCTCCTCAGCTTAGAATGGCAAGTGAAGCTAGAACATATCTACAGGGAAGGAAACTGTGTCGCCGATCACTTGGCTTCGTTGGGTCATGGGCTTCCACCGGGGCCTCACGAGATCAATCATCCTTCTTCTATGCTGTCATATTGGTTGTACCACGACTTGATTGGGGTCTAGACCCCACGATTGGTTATTAATAGTTAAAGATTGGAGCGCCCTTAGCGCTCTGTTTCCCACCAAAAAAAGATTTATCTTCTTTGTCCAACTTAGTATAATATTTGTATTCTAATTTATAAACATGAATGGTTCCATAAATGACTGGCCAACAGATCTATATGAATAAATAAGTGAATCATCAACTGCGACAATTTCTAGATCAAGGTCCAGTTCAATTAATAAAATTAGATTTTTTCCATATGGGTCAATCCTTGGATTGGATCAATTCTTGGATTGGATCAGTCATGTATGGTTCGGCCGGTTGTTTGCGATTAGACGTTGAACGACAAGAATTAGGGGTGAAAATTTTTCCCTAATTCTTGTGAGAGATCCATGGTTCATAAGTAAGAAACCGAACTTAACTGACAAGACGCGTTTTGGGGTGTAATGGAGGAGTTCTTGTGACAACTCCGAAGTTAAACGTGCTCAAATTGCACCCAAGTCGAAAACCGTACGGGTGTAGAGGCCCAAAGCGGACAGTATTTTGTCGGGAAAAGGTTCGGGATGTTACAAGTGGTATTAGAGCCTCTCCACGTCCCTCTTGAACGATGGTGGGGCAAACCTCAACGAGGGCGTTGAGTCCCAAGGGGAGTGTATGTAGCACTTAGGCGAATCCCACATCGACAAAGCACGGGAGAGATCCATGGTTCATAATTAAGAAACCGACCTTAACTGACAAGACGTGTTTTGGTGTGTAATGGAGGAGTTCTTGTGAGAATTTCGAAGTTAAACGTGCTCAAATTGCACCCAAGTCGAAAACCGTGCCGGTGTAGAGGCCCAAAGTGGACAGTATCTTGTCGGGAAAAGGTTCGGGATGTTACATTCCATCTGTGCAAAAAAAAATGAAATCCTAGTTAGAACGAATAAGATAAGAGCCGATTAAGAAAACTAGGGAAAATAAAATGCATTTAATTCACAACCCTTAGATCTAGATTTTCAGGACCCACTTAGATCTAAATGTCCAGATTTAGTTACTCATATGTCAGTAACCAATAGTTACTGACAGTATCCCTAGCCGACATTAGAGGGTATGAGCTTTGATTATGAATCTGATGGAACTAGAATTGAAGCGACTCTGATCCGGATGTTGTATGGATATATATGTGTATTTGATGTGTGTATAGAAGAATGTTATAGATTATCTTGTTTGATGTACTTTAACGTTTAATACCCTTGGAGATCAAGTGAAAAGAAAAAATTGGCGGTTCTAAGTCTAGGGAAAACAAATCCAATTCACCAATTCAATTCATCCACTAACTTATACATATCCAATTAGTGCAATCCATTTATTTGTTCAAAGTAAATAATCATTGAAAAATTATGTTTTGGGACCTAAAATATTTTATTATGACATTTTAGTACTTACATATTTTAAATTTGCACGTTGGTCCAATGTTTAGATGTAACATGGATCTATGAATTTAATCCGTCAATTCATCAATCTAACAATTCATATGAACCAAATTCATGAATATAGTCCGCTTGTCACCTCTAATTATTAGGGGTGGTTATACGGTCCTATCTGGTTAAATTGATCCGAATTGATCCAGTCCCAGTCCGGTCTTTTCGGGAATATAAGGACCAAAGATTGGATTTGATACAGTTCGGTCTTGATCCGGTCCGATCTTGACCCGGTCCGGTCCCAATTCGGTCTTGATTTTAGATTGAGCTTGTGGGGATTTGAGTGGTCTGAGGTCTCAAAGGGTGAGGAGTTGGTTACGTTTTGGTTGTTGGGCTCTTTTATCCGGTCTTTATCCGGTTTTCGATCCGGTCCCAAACGGTTTTTTACGTCAAATCTAAGCCCAAATATGGCATTGAATTGTTTAATATTCGGTCCCGGTCCGGTCCCAATTCAAATTATACGATTCGGTTTCGAGTAAAACCAAATAGCCCGAACCAAATAGCCAGTCCTACTAATTATTATGTGAAATGGTGGTCATGCTCATACCTGACTCGATGGAGATCAATCCTTTGCTTTTGCGGTTGAACAACTAGTTCTATTCGACGACCAGGGTTTGAAACAAATTGGTATTATCAAAACTCCCTTTAAAGTAAGTAAAACTCAAAGATTACCGTCCTTCATTGAAGTCACTGATATTGTCAGTCTGTTTGACTGGGCTTTCTGACAACACGTGTTTGGTAAAAACTCTCAGGAAGCTCAACTGCTGAACATGCCATGTATATTATTGTTGTGGTGTTCTCGTCACAGTAGTAAGTAGATCACCAGGGGAAGCCCTGTCATGAAAGAAGGACCAGTTTTCTGAATGCAAAGTGGCCCAAAACTTAGTAGCGCACAACTCTGACAAATGTTTACAAACAGGTATATATGAATTGATGATTCCATTTGAGGATACAAAAAAAAGTTACTGCGTGGCCACAGTGAGTTCTCTTCCGTGAGTTTAGAAACAGAAGTAGCTATGCTGCAAGGCAAAACTGTCAGTGGACACTCTGTGCTTTCCCCGCGTACCACCATCATTACAGATTCACGTGTTTTCTTCAAGGGACACCCACATTTGTTTCATGTCGCAGAAATGGTAAACTTTTCTTTCATGGCTTTGAAGAGGAAATGGTAAATTTTCTGTGAGTTGTCAATGTTCAGTCATTTTCAGTTTGAGTTGGCTCATTTGAATTGGCGAAAAATGTAAATTGCTGCTCTAAAAGATTTCTTTTGAATGATAAAAATATGGTAAATGATGTTGGAGAGGAGTATCAGAGATATTTCAGTTTACAGTCAATACTATCAAGGCTAGCTAGTGGCGGACACAAAATTTTGATTAAGGGTATTCAGCGGCATAATATAATCTTCAATGATTATTAAATAGTTTTGAATTCAAATACTATCATCATTAAAATATAGTTTTATAAAAGCCTTTTACACATAGTTTGGATATAAGGTTTGTCAATTAATAATCCATTCATCTACTTGGGGTCGGGCTTGAGCAAGGTGTTGGGTTCGAGTCTCAATCGAGATTATGTCAATTTTCCTCACTCCTTCTCAATAATTGTAATGACAGGTTATGTTTATGTAACAAAACAAAAGGTAGGAAAATGTGCTTTATACGGAGGGATAAATTGAAACTTGTGTTTCAATAGTCTATATAGTTCTCAATACTTACACTATTGCTACATTCTTTCTTGCTTATTCAAACATTATATAAAGGATAACTCGATTGTATTTTGTACACTCATAGCTCATGACTCTGATCATTCTCCATACTGTATAATCAAGCTCCATCGTTTGTAGGGTCATGTGGTATTGTGGTGAGATCAGATCAGTCTCAAAAAGGTCTGCAATCTTTGTGTACCAAACCAAAAGAGGGAATGGAATTGATGATGGGTGCCTTCCAGCCAGAAAGGTCGTGACTTTTTCTTCAATAAGTGAACAATTATTAAGGCAAAACAAAGATTGCAACGTACCTCGATCATGGCCTTCCTTGTGAGCCCTGGTTGCCTCTTAAGAGGAAAGAGAGGGGAGGGCCATTGTTGATTGTGTGGTGGCTGTTTCTCAAGGTGCCACGCGGCCCAAAATGAACACTCAGAAATCATATGTATAATCGACTACTAGCTGCCACACACCAAGTTTTATGCGCCGGTGGGGATGCGATTTTAGGGGAATGTCCAACCAAAGAGGAACAATTAGTATGTATATATAAGACGTCTGGTGAATGACAAAAGGGAGCAGCAATCAACTGAAGAAACCTAGCTAAAGTGGGGATATTAGTGGTGTCCTAATTCCTAAAATATCTATCTCCTCCGCACAAGAACCAAAGGAACTAACTAGCTAAAGTTTAGGTTCTGGATCTGAGATTTTCATTTTGAAAAAAAAAAAATGCATCTCTATTTCTGATGATAAATATGTGTAGCATTCATCCAATCATGTAACATAATCGGTCGGTATTTCAATACTTGATTGAATTAACAATGTAAAGGGATGGTGACGAGGAGCTAATTGTGTCGAAAGTAAGTTAACCTGTTTTGTATGTAATTTGAAAAGAAATCACACATATATAATGTTATGGCTTGGACAAATGCATATCCTAGTAGATGGAGCGGTCCATAGTGGTTCTCATGGGGTTGAGGGTTGGGTTATGTACGTATGTAGGGCTCCGAGGGTGGAGTTATTGGCTCTCTGGGAGGCGGTTTGTAGGTGTGTGCAACATGGACTGGCAAAAGTGGTGTTTGTTGGAGATGCGATGCTAATCTCCGATAAGGTCAAGGAGGGGATTGCCTCAAAGGCTTGTGTATGTCAGGTTTAATGTCAGGTTTATTGGTCGTCAGACAATTACAGGGTTGTCTATTTGATGGCGGGAAAAATCATTTCATTGTACCCTAATTTATTGGGGGGTTTGATGTTGCCTCATGGCTTCAAGCATTGTATTCACTTTTTTATCTTCCTTTTACTAGATAAGACGAGTGATTTAATTGCAAAAAACAAAAATCACCAAATAACATTATAGTCAGATCTGAAAATAAGATCCGTGAATCAGCTTGAGAAGGGAGAATGAAAGAAAGATATGATCTCAATCTCGCCCAAACTTAATGCATCGAGTAACACTCATCTAAGATAGGCAATAAGAAGTATTTGAGCCAAACATCAAAGACCCAAAATTTCATCAAAAGAACTAACAGCACGGGTTATGAGATTCATAATTAAGGCACCATCTAAGTGCTTCGGTTGAATCAGTCAAAAAAAAAAAGGGCTTCGGTTGAACAACTACACTAGAATTTATAATTGAACTTTTTATAATCACATGGGAAAATGCAGCCGATGAAAAAGGGTATGGGCTTGGCTGGGAAACACTCATCTTAGCATTCCCTAATAGGGGGTTTTCCCCCAATTAACTGGATCAGGCATTGATTATGGCCAAAATTGGGGCCAAAGATTGGGTACAAAGAAGTTGAAAATTGGTTGGTCCAATAACATAATAGCTAAGATTAAGCTAATTATATGGGTAAATTGTAACCCAAATTGATGATACTCATTCTCTACTATATATCTTAAACCTAGCTAGGCCTAGCTGCTGGGGACTTGTTTCCAATATCTTGCTGGGAGTCCATTCATTGGCACTGGAAATGGGCAGTTCTGCGTCCCACTCTCAGATCCTACCACTTCCCACCTGCAATATATTCAATCAATTGGACCATCAGAAGATTAATTATAGACCAAACAAAAGAAAATGACAAATCAAAATATTATTCCTTTCAATTTCGTCCCCCCAATTTTTTTGTTGGCTGAGAAATATTCTCCAAGATCCCCACATCTAATTTTACTCTACCATACAAAAAGAAAAAAAACCCAGAAAGATATTTTTATTTTTTGTTTCTTCATATTAGTAATATATATTTACCTGAACTTGGTGACCAAATGGTGGATCATGGTAAGCATCTCCAGCTTGGCAAGCTCATTCCCAGGGCAGGCATGTACCCCATTGCCAAATGGCATGAACGTATTGGGCTTTGGTGCCACCTGTAGGGAAGCAGGTTAAAACTAAGATCAAAATCCCATATCTCCCACACTATCATTTTGGGAGGAAGGGAAGAAAAAAGATTTGATTCACACACCATACCTCAAATCTTGAAGGATCAAATTTATGGGGGTCACTGAAGTATTCTGGATTGTGATGAATGTTCCTGAACAAAGGCATCACCTTCCAACCCTTTGGAATAAGGTACCCTAAAAATACCACACACAAACACCCAATAAAAATCCAAGTATCTGGTCACTCTCCAATTTCCACAAGAACAAAATATTGACCAAATTTTAAAATAGCAGGCCAAAAAAAAGGTCATAATACGCATTGTTCGTGAACTTTCTAACATATGTAGTAAGATGTTAGATATGATACCTTTGTATTCTACATCGGCCACGGCTTCTCTAAACGTGAAAGCAATAATGCTTGCCATCCTCAAGCTCTCTGAAACCACCTGAAATCAATTTGGTTGACAAATTAGTTCCCTAAAATCAAATCATTTGGTGACAACTTACAACATGGTTTATAAATAACTGAGTAGCAATTATGCTATATATACCTTGTGAGTGAATGGCATATTGTGACGAGTTTGACTCCAGGTCAGCGTCGACTCACTATTAGTGCCGTCTCTTTCATTCACCTCTTGAATCGCCTTCTGTTCGGCCTATATGCAAAAAAAAGAGTTTCACAAAATTCAAACATTTTAGTCCCTCAAAATTTAATGCAAACAACGGGGAGGTTTCTAGAGCTACCTACACCGGCTTCGTTTTATTACCTTGACAGCGTCGAGAAGCTTCGGGTTGTCGTGGAGGTACTTGACAATCCACGTCATGGCGCTGGCCGTCGTGTCCTGTGCGGCGAACAGAGCTCCGATGATGTTGTCGGCGACCTGCTCGTCCGTCAACAACTGCCCTTTGTAGTCCTTGGAGTTGAGCAGACAACCCAACATGTCGTTCTCCAACAGCTTCTTCTCTTTCCTCTCGCTGATTATGTCCCCCAATATCTCACTCAGCTTCCTCCGAGCCTGCAACATTATTTATCATTAACATTAATCAAGTGATGATGACATGGGAATTGTAAAATTTAATAATTAATTAATTAATTTCGTTTGTTTGTTTGTTTGGACTCACCGTAAGAGCCCTCTTGTAGGGAGTTCCAGGCATGGTGGTGGGAAAGGAATTGTAGCCTTTTTCGACGATGCCGTAATTCTTTTTTAACTCTATCCTGTAATGGGCTTCCAGGTGTCCGAAAACCGCCAGGATCCCAACCTCGAAGGACAACTGCAAATAACAAATAATGCAATGTGTCAAATAGTTCTAATCTTTACCGACGTACAAAACAAAATTACCGTCCGTAAATAAAAAAACAAAAGCGGGATATTGAGAGAGAGATATATATATAAGTATGAAAACCTTTTTGAGCTCTTCGAAGGTGTTGATGACGTGGCCGCCGTCCCAAGATTCCAAGGCGGAGGCGGCCAGGGCGGAGACGTCGCCGGCCAGGCTGCGGATGGCGTCGAGGGAGAGGGCGCGCTGGACGAGCTGGCGGAGGCGGGCGTGGTAATCGCCCTGGTGGAAGAACAGGGCCGAGGGCCCAATCAGGCGTTCTTTGGACTTGGGGTAAGTGGGCTTGAAGAGGTGAGATTGGGTTACGAGGACGAAGCGGGCAGCGTCCGGGCTGGCGAGCATGACGCAAGGGCAGCCCAAGATGTGCGTTTTGAAGATCTCGCCGTGCCGTTTCTGTTTGTTGGAGAAGAAACGGGTGGGATCTTGGGAGTAGAGCTGGAGGGTCTCGCCGATGAGAGGCCAGCCCATTGAGCCCGGCGGGAGCTTCAGTCGAATGTGGCTGACGTCGGAGTCGCTTCGGCGTCTAGCGAGTTTGATGAGCAGGCAGGTTATGAAGAGAGTGAGAAGAATTATGAGCAAAGGAAGGGTGTTGGGGATGAATCCATAGGCCATATTCTCGTAGTTGTGAAAATGTGGCCTGAAGCTGAGCGAGTTTTTTATTTTTTTTTTATTTTTGGTGCTGAAAATTTCTTTGTTTTTGTGGGTTTGATTGATGTCGCTGGAAGAGAAGGGGAGGAGGGGTTTATATAGGGATGGTGAGGGCCAAAGTGAAGGGGATGAAGACAAGGAGGGAAAAGGATATATGTAAGCGATGGTCCCTGAATTTTTGTGATTGGTGGCTTGCAGGAAAAATGAAAAAAATAATATTTAGGAAATAAAGTGAATTTCAGATATGGAGGTCCTACTAGAGGCTACAAAACCACAACTGTGTTTGATTTTTTTTCCTTATTCGCCCTCTTTTTTGACAATAACAATAATGTTGAGTTTCACAAGGCTACCAAGGAGGTAAATTGAACTACCCTTTACCATACTAGAAAAACTTCAAATCGAAACGTCTGTTTTTATATTATACAAAAGCGTCTTCTGACTTTTCAAAAGCCGAGCTTTTATAGGTGTTTGACCCTGCTTTACCTTTTGAAATCAAAAAACACTTCTAAAAATCGGGCCAAACATAGACAATACAGACCATGGACTAGACTAGATTATTCAATTAGGAATATATTACTCCCTTAATTAATAACATGCTGATAAGGTAAGACAAATATTCCCTTATTAACTATCATTTATTATTTTCCTTTTTCGTATTAGAAAAGGAATTATAGACTCAAGCAAACCAATCCCACCCACCTAGTCGCTTCTAGGATGAAAATTATGAATATTCCCTCTTTTGTGAGAAACATGTCATGTGGTTCAGGAAAAAATTACTTTCATACTTCATCGTTAACGGATCAGGTAAGATAATTATTATGTTATTAATTATCATTTATTACTTTCAATTTCTTATCAGAAAATGAATCAGATAATTAATTTGAGATTTCTAAAAAAAGTTATGGTCTCAAGCCGACCAACCTCATTCACCCGCCCAATTGCTTGCTCAACCGAACAAACGGTGTCTGCATGTGTGGTTTGTAGGTCATTATGTTCGAACACCCCTTCCACAAAAGTGTGTAACCACAAGGGCTACATCTACAAATATATTATAGCATAGTTTTTCCGTATTTCAAATTTCGTGCAACGAGAGGAAAAATAGGAAGGGTAATTGTGTCTTCACAATCGTTATTTATTTTTTATTCATAAGAAAAATATACATCAATCTCGAGATTTGAACCATAGTCTTTCCAAACAAAGACAACAACCATTGCCAATTACACTAAAGAAATGTTATGTATCTTTATAAATACAAAATCTGTAAATCTAAACTCTAAAAATCATATTACTTTTTCACTACTGTTAGCTAGCTCACTAACTCTCCTGTAAGTACTTTATTTGTTATTTTATATTTGAATTTTTATATTTTGATTATTTTAATTTGATTTTAATAATAAATTTAATTTATATCTATCTCATAAATGGAGGATAATTTTAAAATTGCAACCCAAATATCATGGATTCGAATATTGCATATTGAATTACAATATTTAATGTGCAGATGTGATGTAGAATTCTTAACTTGGTATTAATTTTTAGAACTATTAAAGCAACAATATTGTTATGCAAACTGTAAATGACCAATTTTTTGAAAGTTTTCGTTTGGTTAACCGTTAAATCCTAAATCTCTTGATAATATGACATGATTGGAAAATGAGTGTGTTTAAAAGAACATGATTTCTGAATACCAATTTTTCTAGATAATTTTAATTATTTTAATTTTTATATTATAGGATAATTGATCATATGTATCATACATAGTTACTTAGTTTAATATAAAATAACCGAAGTACAAGACAAATCATGAAAGTCGAGCTGGAGTTTTCATGGACGCATTGATGTGGTCATGTGCATTAGCAAGTTAGGTACCACAAGATAGGTTTAATTTTTTGTTGAGTGAATAAGATTGTCCTACAACTAAATGTAGAGTATGTTGGTTGATAAATAATTTTTTCATTGCATAGAGTATGGATGGAAAATGTTATTCTACATAATACTTTAAGGTTTAGATATTGCTATACATGTATCGTTTCTCAAGCAAAAGAAATAAATATTCACTAAAGGTTATGTTCATGAGTTTCATATTTATGCTACGCTTTTTTCATACATTTTTTTTTTGTTATGCCAATTTTCTTTTCAACCATAGGCAACTAGTGACTACATCATTAAATAGACAAGTTATGAATGGTTATTCACGAGTCTTACAACCAAGGTTGTTACACCTCTACCGAGAAGCTGCTTGGACTAGGTCCGACCATAATCGTGCTCCAAAACGGGCTCTACAAAACTAAGGGTCTGATCATTAGAGAGGGAGAAGAAGAGAGGGCAAAGGGAGGGGGGAGGAGGCAAGGGGATGGTGGGTGAATCTTGAGATAGGTATTTTTTTATGGAATTTGAGTTTTAATAGATATAAGTTAGTATATTTCATTTCAGTCACAAAATTTCTATATTTTATGTAAATATATTTAGAAAAGGTATAAAACGTCCCAAACAGGCTGTACTTCAATCAAACCATTAAACTTCAAAAACATTGCTTGACCGGCTCAACGATTTAAACCGGTTTGACAACTTTGGTTGTCCATAGATTACAATGTTCATCATTGATGAAAAGTTATAAGAATTTCAAAAATGGAAAACTAATTTCGATGTCACATTAATGTCATACGAAATTCAGCATTACAAATAATTTTAAAAAACTTAAATACATATCATAAATACATTATATTGAAATGACACTCCGACCAACGGGCCGGACAACAAACTAGTTCTTTAGAGAGTGATGTATATTCTGATACAGTTTTTATACGACTCTTTCATAGCAATATGATATTTTAAGAATTCACTGTAGCTTTCAAAAGCTATTCATCATTACCAACATATTATAAAATTTTAACAAAATCCTTGCTCCGGAAAAGACGGAGCAACGATTTTTTTCCCTTTGCTCTCACCCTGCTCACGCGGCAACACCATGGTAGCGCCGACGCCGGGGGCCTCTCCCCCGGACGTAGGTATGCTTGATCCTAGCACAGGTGTACGTCGCCCCCCTCCGATAACTTCATCACCAGATTCCAAACGAGAGCGAGAAACCCAACAACCAAAGAAAAGAGCAAAGCCTATGCGAGATAATCCCCTCTTTGGGGTCAATAGCACGAAGGAGCCTGTCCCTGCCCCTATGGAAGAAGGTGAAGCCAGTGAAAGGAATGAGAACACTGAGAATGCATGCAATGGAGGAACACGTGGGCTATTTAGTACCCTATACCAAGAAGATGAGTGGTACGTTGCGGAATCGGACTCCGAGGACGTAGCTGTCGCCATGAAGGAGGATGACCTCGATGATGAAATTCCAGAAGATGATGACCCCTTGTGCCCTACCATTGCTTTTACGGCGATGGTGAAGAGAATGGCGCTCAGCGCTTATAGTGAAAGTCCTTGGCAGAACTTTCCCCTTCCATGTCATCTCTTGCAGACTGGAAGTCCTATGGGCTAAGTGCGGCAACATCCAGGTCTCGAGCTTGTCGTTTAGATTCTATGTTGTGCGGTTCACTAGCCAAGTTGATTATGAATACGCAGAAGCGGGAGGATCGTGGATGATTAGTGATTTCTATATCACAGTGCAACCATGGCAAAAAAAAACTGACCCGAAATCGGCAGAGGTGGCTTCCACCATGGTATGGGCGCGATTCCCGGGTCTCCCAATGGAGTTAATTAACAAACAAGCCGTTGAGCGCATTGCGGAGAGAATCGGACGTCTACTCCGGGTGGATCAAGCAACGCAGACAGGTGATCGTGGCAAATACGCCCGAGTCAGCATTGAAGTTGACCTGACGAAACCGTTGCTATCGAAGTTCAAAATTGAAAGAATCACCTATTACGTGGAGTATGAGGGACTCCACCGAATCTGTACTGAATGCGGTAAGTATGGTCACATGAAGGTGACGTGCCCAGTGCTCTTTAAGGTTCCCACTCCAACACAAGCTCCTACCCAGGAAGAGCATGGCCGCGAACCTAGCAGTAGTTATGGTGATTGGATGATGATGAAACCGCAGGGAAAGGGTACCAATAGGAACAAGCAAGAATCGACTACCAATGTTGTCGGGAACGAAAAACCACCGGGGGTGGCTAAATCCCAAGGATCCTGTTTTTCAGTGCTCCTGGATGACACAAATGATGAGAAGCAGGAACCTGAAGGAGTAGAACATAAGGCAATGCCGCTACAAAATGAGGCAGTGGAAGGTGGGAGCTCTCAGATGGAAGCTCCGGTGGGAAGGGCTACTTTGCCACATACAATGTTGAATAATGAGGTGGAAAATCTTGGGGGAAATCATTGGCACAGGATGGGGATCCCATTCCAGATCAAGTGACTATGGCTATCAAGAATAACCTACAGAGGTAGATCAACTCTCCGTCCAGCCTATGGGAACTGGGAATACTACTAAGAAACCTGACCAATCCAGCAAGGTTAGTCAGGGTCGGCAGTCGGAACAAGAGAGATCAGGAGCAGTCCCGAAACCTAAGTAAAACACAACTCAGGCGGATAAGGATAAGCTGGTTCGTGGAACTTCTAAAGGTACTGGAACAAAACATGGCGCGGGGAGTCTATCCCCTTCAGCTCATAAATGAAGATCTTGAGCCATAACTACCTCGGGTTGGGGAATACGCGGTCAGTTAATGCTCTTCGCGCGCTGTTGCGCAGATCATCCCCTTGTGTCGTTTTTCTCATGGAGACGAAGTAGAGTGAGGCTGAGAATGAAGTCCTTCGCGACACATGCAGGTATAAGTTTGGAAGAATTTTTTCGGCAATTATCTCCCCCCGGAGTCGAGTAGGGGGACTTAGCTTATGGTGGAACGAGGAGACGCAAATTTCAGTAATGGATCTAGACTAACTTCATTTATGTCGCTATCGAGGAAGTAGCGGAGGGGAAGTGGAGCTTCACGGGTGTCTACAGGTGGTGTCAGAACATAAGCGTGCAATCGATAATCCAAACCAGCACAAACGAACACAAATTTAATGTGGTTCACTAACACAATGTGTGCTAGCTAATCCACGGACAGAGGAGACAAATTTC